TTAAAAATTATTATTACAATTCTAAGATTTAAAATCAAATCTGAAAAAATGTTATTACTTAGATATTACAAGTATAAAATATTTTTATTATTTAAAAAATTAATGTCACTATATATTTTAAAAAGTTATCTTATAGTGATAATTGAATTAGATATATATTATAGATAAAAATGCTTTATTTGAGAATTGAAATATTTTTGCTATAGAACTTTTGAGCGGACTACTTAAATTAGACAATGACTAAAGTTGTACAAATGGCTAGTTGTACACTCTCTCCATAGTTGCTTTCTGTAGTTGTAAAGCAATCATTAGCCAAATATACTATCAATAAAATTCTGGATCACAAGTACTCACCTTAATATTTAAAAAAAAAAAAAAAAAGATAATTAAAAAGTAGGGTGTAGGTCCTATAGCATAATTGTTAAGCTCCCATATCCTCACAGTCAAGGTCAACAGTTCAAGTCTGGCTGGAGGCAAAAATTAAAAAGATTTTAGCCTCTGTAACTTATAAAAAGCCAGTAATTGAACATAAAGCCCTGTGGTTAAGTCCAAGTGCAGTATATGATAGAAAAAAAAATTTTCAGAAGGAAACTAACTTTGCAGAGAGCAGGCACTACAGGTGACAGTAGTGTCACAGAAGGTTCTGTTACATAAAGTATTGTGCATATAAGTCCTCTGGAGATGGGGCAGTACCAACATCTTTACATCCAACTTGGGAAGCAATTGATTGGGAAGGTGATACCAAGGTAATACATACTGGAGTGATGAGAGAAGCAGTGCATGCATAAAAGATCTGTAACAAAGGATTAGCCTTATCAAGATTGAAAACACCTCTGGTGTTATGGAATAACTGAAAATAGAAGGTAGCTGTACATATAGAGAAGTTGTAGCCTGTTCTGTACATCTAAAGATACCAAACCAGAGCTCTGGTTACACCTATCTGAAAGCCTATGGTGAAACAAGTGGAACACACCAACATAAATGCTGTACCAATCAAAGTTGAGATACCTAAATTGGAAGTGACCTTTGTAAACAAGCACAGCGCATCTGTGGAAATGCAGATTTATACAGGTATCTGTGTAAGTCAGTATATACAGAGGGATGCAAACCAGCTTTGGATAGTGCAAACACAAGATAAGTCCTCATGTGTTTAAGTAGAAAGAAAATGATGGCCAATGACTAGAAGAAAATGGAAGTACCATTTCTGAAACATAGTTCTACTATACCATAAAAGGGAGTACTTAAAAGACAGATTAAATGCACAATCTGTTTAAATAATGCTAAGACCAAAAAGGGTTGCAAACCAGCAGTGATAGCAGGAACCTGGCTTGAGATATGTGCTACCAGTACCTGAATTGGAAAAATAGCAATGGCAGCAAGAATCTGGCTTGAGATACATGCTAGAGAGGTACTCTTTGGGCAAACCAAAGATGGAAGCTCAAAAGGAGCAAATAACCCAGTGGACCAATTTGGGAGTTGTGAAAAATAGGTTATGAGACATGGGGGAATATGCAGGTTACCTAATATAATTAGTAATGAAACAAAATCTAGGTTAGATGTAAGTGGAATACAATACAAAACTCTGGTAGGTTTAGGTCACAGATAAAGATATCTGAGTCCTATATCTAAATAGATATATAGTGATAGATGATGTATGATAAAAATTGTACTAACTATAACCAATATACTAATAAAGACTTGAGGATATGATCTTACCTTAACAATTTAAAAAAAAAAAGATAATTAAAAAGTTTAAATAAATAATCTTTTAGTAGATTATAAGTATAGTATCTAATATAAAACTCAAAACAAATTACTTAAATAGGTAACCAAAAGTTATATATATGCTTAATTGTATTTTTATCTTTATAAAAATAAATATAATATTAATTTTAATATATTAATAAAATAACTATTATAAAGTATAATCTTTAATAATAAAAAAAACAATCTAATTTTTATACTATATTAGACAAATAGTACACTAGTTTTTGTATACTTAAGTACTATCTAACTCAATATTTAGCTTTCTTTTCTGTATAACTACCAAGTTGTTATTTGCTTTAAAATATATTATCTAATTATAAGACTTGAAATATTTTCTTATTAATTAACTTACTTTTTCTATAAATTATTAACAGAATTATACTTTTATAAAGTTAATTCAGATCTTAGTATTAATTTTATAACATATTCTTAATACTTTAGTATATTTTTATTTTGTTCTTAAACTTTTAATCTAAATAGCTTAATTGGACTATAACCTATTCTTGGCATATTAAGTTTGACTTGCTATTTTTTTTTTTAATCTGAATTTTGATATTCTAGTTAGTAGTATCTTTTTTTTAAAAGTATTTGTTTACTTAATTTTTTTATATTAGTATTTGTTTCTTAGATCTAGTCTTTATAGTAGTATTATTAAAAATCTATATTATTTTTATATATAAGTTTTCTTAAATAGGTTTGTGTTTTCTTAGTTTTATAAATTTATATAGCTACAAAAACTTATCATAAATTTGTATTACTTAGTACTAATTTATATTTTTTTAAATAAGCAAAATTATATAAATGCATTATAACCTGTTAATTATATTAGTACAGTCGATACTGTCTAAATGCATACTGTCTAAATGCATATACTGCTTAACTGCATGCTATTTTTATTTCCCAACCTAGTTATTAATTATAAATGCATAAACCCTTTATTTGCATAATGCATAAGAAAAATCTATAGGTAAATAGGCCTAATTGCATAATATATTATAACATATGAATTGTCTAAACATATTACATTTGCCAAATTAATCTGAAATTCAGACACCCAGATTTAAAATTAAATAACCAAATTACATATTAATCAATGAATGCTAAACTTCCAAAATAATTTTGAATGTCTGATCTATACGATAATACATTTAACCTATCTTTTCTACTATCTAACTCATTTTATCATATTCTAATAGACAGAATTTCATGTATGATGATGTATTCTTACTCAGTAATAGTAACCAGCATAGTTAAAGATCAATGTCATATTAATAGGGTATTTTATAAATGCACCATAATGAAAAAACGCAACATTTAATAATATAATTTATTATATTGCCTTTTAAAATTTACTACTTACAACATATGATACTACATAACTGTTTTGATAAACAGAGACTAAATAAACATAAAAGTTTTTCTAAGCAATAGAGTTATACTGTAAATTATTTTGTAATATACTATCACTAAGTAAATTACAATGAATAATATCATGTTAATGAATTAATTGAAGATCAAATGTGATATAAGATAATAATTCTAATTTTTTTTTCATTTCATTCGAGCAATGGCATAAAGGCTCTGATGTAAATATCCTATTTGTGTGTATTATATGAATGATTAAAAAAATAAGAATGATTCTAACATAAGTATACTTTATTGAACAAAAATTGTCGAATAATGGTAATTTGGCAAATGAGCATGTGCTGCTTTGTGGCACATGTAGCCAATCATTTATCAAATTACCTTATTCGAAAATTTGTTCAATGATGATGTTATCCGGCAATTTATGATCATGTTTGGTAGAGAGTTGCTCGCTGAGTTTTAATTTGAATAAACATAATTATCATAACACATGAAAAAAATAACCAAAAGAAATTTTTTTATGATTATATGAGTTTGTCAGATAAAAGATCTTATTTGTACACATTGTATAAATAAAAATAAGAACCTATTTATTATGCTCTTTCAACCTATACCTACTAATATAAAATCAAAAAATTAGCAATAAAAAGCAGACCTGTAAAAGCAATTGAATAAACTCTTACCTGGTATTTTACTTGAATAAAACTATCTAATGTTGTTTGAATCTTGAAAGAGGAGACTTGAAGTCGAATTTCTTATTGTAATGAATGCAATGTTCTAAGCACAGTATTGTGATCAGAAATAGTTGTATCAAGAAGACTGATTATAGTACGAATAGCATCGAGTCTAACAGGGTTTGAAGGAGTAATAAAAGAAGAATTACTTTCATTTATACTATCAGTATTATCATTTTCTGGGGTCATTGATGCCAGTAAGTCAGCATCTGTGAATTCTTAATGTACTATATCTGTTTCTTCTGATGGGTTTGTATAATGAGCAATGCTCATAGGATGGCAGGGGGACAATATTTGGAGTGATTCTTCCAACTCTGCAAGAACAGATAAATCCTCATCATTTGGATGGACTTCATGAATAGCAGTAGTTATTTCATAATCAAACAAGCCAGTATAGTGAAAACAATTTGTAATAGTTTCTAGAAGGATTGAATTTCAAGCTCGAATACACTATTGCATTGCCTTTAGTTGGTCGAATTTATAGATATCAGATTCTCCAGCCTTATCACAGTCAATAGCATGTTGCAATAAAAAATGATGATATCGATGTTTGAAGGCAGCAATAATGCCTGCATCCATTGGTTGAAGCTTTGAGGTAGTTCTTGGAGGTAAAATAACAACCTTTATATGAGTAAGATCTATATCACCATTTGCATGTGAAGTGGCACCATTAATAAGAAGAAGAATGTGTTGATTTGCATCTTCCATCATACAGTTAAAGTTTACAATCCATTCTCAAAAAAGTAATTCAGTTATCCAGGCTTTCTTATTATAGCAGTAATAAAAACCAAGCTGCTTTTTAGTTTTACCTTTAAACGATCTTGGTTTATTTGAGTGACTAATAATAAAAGGTTCTAACATATGAGAGCCATCTGAATTGGCAGTAAAAGCAAGAGTAAGACATGTTTTATCTTTTTTGCTCCCTTCAATTTGTCTTTTAGTGATTGTTTTGTCTGGAGCTATTCTGTAAAACAGACCAGTTTCATTCATATTATAAACATCACTTGCAGCATATTGTTTAATAGTCTCATGTAGTTCAGACAAGCTTTTTTCGATTGCTTCATTATTAGCAGACCCACTTTCTCCATGTATTTTATGCATTTTAAAATTATAATGTTGCTTAAATGAGAGCAGTCAACTAACAGAAAAATCAGGTGTATTGCAATCTTGGGGGTCAAGACCAATTTGTTTAGCCAATTTACATTCTTTTTCACGTATTAACTTTCCAGTCAACTGAATTTTTCTTACTTGACATTGCAAAACCCAGTTTGCTAATACCTTATCTAGTTAAGGTTGGAGTACTGTTTGGCAACGTTTGATTCTAAGATCTTTCTCATCATCAAGCTTAAGATACTTATCCTTTATGGCAAGGATTCATGAAAGTGTTGCTTGGTTAGGGGCATTATCAAAATCAAACTTTTCTTTTGCCCATTTTGCAAGCTCTCCTTGTATCATGGTTGAATTATTTTGTTTTTGTATACAAATTTTTTTGTGTTGGTCGTTAGTTAAACTGATTTTTGAAGACATGAAGGATTTTTTTTTTTTTTTTTTTAAACCTTTGTATTATCATTGTGAAGACGTATATAGCATATAATGAAATGCCATTTTTATGCTAGATATTAATCAGGTTTTTTTCAAAACCAATATTCATCTATACTGTTCTGTTACTCAATATTTCGAATATTTAGTGAAAAAAAAACATGGCATAGTTAAGGTTTCTATTGTCTTATATTGTGTAATTTTATTTATTCACACTTTACTAACATCATGTTCAATGCTTATTATGGTGACAAGGTACGTATTTTACTTATTTATTTTATTGGAAAAGAGAGAATTATAATTTACATATGCATTACTAATTCCCTATTCCATTTTATATGAATTTAATGTTAACTATCATTAACTATCACTGACTACCATTTACTATCATTATTGCTATGTTAATTTTATCATGCCTGATTTTTTACAATACAATACTAAATTGGCTTTGCATGCATAATCACCACAATTTTGTTGATATTGTACTATTTAATTGTTATTCTGTTACATGATCGATCGAATTTAACATTTGAGTGTTACCAAGAGAATTTTAAATATAGAATATCTGGTTTTTCACTTGGTAAATTTAGTTAGAGTATTCTAGACACTCCAATCGATAAGTTCATAATGATAATGCACAATTACAACTAAATTATATTAATGTTTTTATATTAAAAAAATATATATTGATATAATTAGAGTAGTATATTAGGTCGCATCTGATTGGCTAATTATTATGTTACACAAAATATGCTTACTGTCTTAATGCATATACTGTCTAAATGCATAAAAACTTGTCTAACGAATGGTATGCATTTAGACAGTATCAACTGTATAATTATAATTACAGATATTTTGTCTCAACTGATCAACAAAAAATATTTGCTATAATACAAATAATTATTTAAATTTTTATTATTAGTAAGTTTTAAAGTTTTAATCTATTACTTAGAAGTGTAATAATTTATTTATTTTACTAAGTTGTTATATATTATTATATATTTATTATTATTATTATTTTATTTTAATAGTTTTGCTAATTAACATTTTATTGAAATATTATATTTTATACAAATATTTTTGAATTTATATTTTTTAGTATCAATTTCTTGTAATTATTTTTATAATTATTTATAAATAATTTTTTTTAAATATTAAGATAAGTATTTGTAACTCAGGATTTTATATAATAAATTTAGCTAATAATTTATTATAATTACAAAAGACAATTATGAAAAGAGTATACAATTTGCTATTTGTATAACTTTAGTTATTGTCTAATTAAATAGTTTATCTAAAAGTTCTATACTAGTTGTTATATTTGAAATCTGCTTGTAAGTTTTTTATTTAAACACTCTAGTTTCTATATTTGCTTACTTATTAATAACTTTAGTTATTATTATTTTTTTTTGAATTTTGGCAATAATGCTAGTTGGTTTATTAGTTTTAATTTTGATATAGTACAAATTTATAGTTACATTTTAGGATCAATTATTACTAGTACTATATACTATCTAATTTTATATTACTGATTTTATCTGATTATCCTTATAGCACCTAAGTACATATTAGCTGCATGCCTGCATACAGTTATCTTACCAACTACTTGCAGTTAGAGCATATTATTAAACTGCTATACAGACAAAAATATCTACTGAACTTAATGTAGTATCCCAAGTAACAGAAGTATTGTTCTCTGTAAATCATATTCACATGTCCTACTCAAATGTTTTATTTGGTCTTGTTTCTTCTATCTCCTAATCTAACTATATATAGTATTATCTTGTTCTCCACATTTCTCACCTTTTTGTTACTATACTATTCCCAAATTGGTTCTATTTGGGTATATCTGATCCTTATGATCTTCTCATCTTTGATATATCTATTATTAATTTCTCTAAAGTGTTCTAATAATAGTTTAGAATCTGCAATAAACTTATATCTTAAGCCAGATCTGCTGTTGCTATTAGTCTTTTTAACTAATCTGTATTTCAAACCAAGTCTGCTATTATTGTTTCTACAAATGCCACAGATCTTAACATTATACAGTAACTCGATGCTGCATTTAATCTTCAACATAATACTCTTTTCTATACTAAGAATTAAGACTTGTTACACTTATAAATAGGACAATTTTAATTATATCTAGACTGTCCTTTGATCTTAGTAATACCATATTACCATATATTGCAAGCTTCTAGCTTATTTGATAATACTTGCAGAACAATTCTGGTTATGTTTAAAGAATTATATTGATCCTAGTGATACTATACTACCTTACAGATCTTATCTCATATTGGTTAATTGATCTCAGTCTTATATGTCATAAACTTTCATATAAGTATGACCAGAACTCAATTTGATACTTTTATATTGTATAAGAAAGTTATATGTCAACCTCCAAGATTTTTCTTTCTATAATTATAAATAGAAAACATGCATATTTTTATTATATATATTTTTTTAATATTAATGATAAGATCATGTCTCTATCTTTATTAAATATTTTAATGGGGTGTGGCGACTTAGTGAAGTGGATAAGTTGTCAACCCCCCAAGTGGTAGGTTGGGAGTTCAAAACCCACTGACGGCGA